AAGAAAGAAAGAAAGATGGGACAAAAGAAATACAGATGGATGGATAAGTGCGCTAAAGTGTTATCTGGGTGTAGGTCTATGTTGTATGTTTCTTTTTTTCCTGGGGTGGCATGAGCAAACATCTCTATTCACTGTGTATAGGGTACCAATGGCAGTCCAATGGAATGACTCCAGCCACATGCAGCTTGGTGAACTCTTGGCTTTGGCTTTAATTGGGTTGTTACTCACTAGAACATGGGCAACTTTCAGGCAGCTATGCCATACTCTGAGGAATTCTCCCCACCTACTACCATCAAGTTAACCCTCTTATACATTCTTGGAGAGAGGGCTTATGACCCAGTTGGTCTTCCCCCACTTCAACAAGCGAATTTTTATAGGTTTATCTTGTGAGAATCTCCTGCGGGTAATCATAGCTCTTCTAACTTCAAGACAGCAGTGGCCATATTATAAATCCTGTAGGATGTAGTTTCACACCAATTTTTTTTTTTTTTTATGAAAGCCAGTTAGGCAAGGACACTCCCATGCTCCATGTCTCCTTGCCATGAGATGGCTTCCACCTGGTCCATTTGAGAACACTGCTAGCAAGAAACCCCTTCATCTTAGATGAGGATCATAAACCAAAATAAATCTTTTTTTTTTTTTTTTTTTTTTTTGGTTTTTCGAGGCAGGGTTTCTCTGGGTAGCTTTGCGCCTTTCCTGGAACTCACTTGGTAGCCCAGGCTGGCCTCGAACTCACAGAGATCCGCCTGGCTCTGCCTCCCGAGTGCTGGGATTAAAGGCGTGCGCCACCACCGCCCGGCTAAAATAAATCTTTATACCTTATCAAGTTTGTGTTTATGGTTCCATGTTATTAGAAACAATGAACAGACAAAGACAACATGTATTCTGATGGTCATAGAAGCATTATTCATGATGGGCCCAAAGTAGAAATATATACAAATTAGTGAAGGAATAAAGGAAAGGTGGCATATCAGTGAAGAAGAATATTATTGAATGATGGACATAGAAACTGTTGATGCTGATACTATAACATGTATGAACCTCATAAACTTAAGTTTGCAATTGTTTATTCATTTTTGTGTTGGGGATATTGTATATTCCAAAGCATATGTGTTGATATTAGAGGATAATTTGCAAGAGTTGGTTCTCTCCTTCCACTCTATGGATCTTGGGGACCAAATTCAGGTCATCAGGCTTAACAGCAAGGACCTTAGCTACTGAGCCATTTCACTGGCCCAAAGCCTTCTTGCTAAGTGTCAAAAGACGACTTACTATGTGTGTCACTTCAAAGAAAATGCTTACAAAAGGCATTATACAAAGACAGGACATAGATTATGGATTGCCTGAACCTGGAGGTAAGCATAGAGATTGTTTGCCATATTATTTTTGAGTGGTAGAAGTGTTATAAAATGAGATTGCGGTGATAGTTACACAACTGTGTAAGTTTACTACAAGTACTGTACACATAGTTGCATAGTGTGTCAATTATGCCTCACTAAAGTTGTTTTAAAATGTAATGCACATTTGAAAGTCATGGAGGAAAGGGTATACAGTTATTTTTTGCCACCATCCCCCAATAGTAAGGAATGTCCCACTCTCTCTTCCTTGTTATGAGTCCTGCCTACTTATTCTGCTTCATTGCCTCCTCTATTCACATGTCATGCTCTAGTCAGACAGAGTCACTGTGCACACGTGAGTAGAAAGCATGCTAGTGAGTTTCCACAGTGTGTGTGTGTGTGTGTGTGTGTGTGTGTGTGTGTGTGTGTGTGTGTACACTTGTTTGCATTTGCACAAGCATCAAGAACAGATATTCTGTGTGAATGAAACTATCAGCTTGCAACTCCAATATCTATAGGTAGGTTCCTATTACCAATCCGGTGCACCAAGTTTCATGTATGTAATTTTCTCTTCATGAATCTCAAATACCTGGCTTTGATCTCCCTGGAAACCAACCTCAGCTCTCAACTTCAACCTCTTTTCCCAGGAAGAAATCAGAGTGGGGAGGGCTAGTGTCTCACTCTACAGCTTTCTAACTGAGCTAGTGACCTGCTGAGGTTGAGAATCAGAGTGGTTTCCATGACAACAGTATTCAGATGCCTTCCCACCTGTAAAGTCCTTTCTGCCTGCTGGGCTAGCAAGTGGGAAAAGGGACAATGGAGAATGAACACACTGAATCCTGGAGATTGCTTTAAATGTGGCTGTCGAATAAATATCTCAAACATAGCTCTCCAAAGAGAAAGCACATTATCATTAAAAAGAAAAAACTGACAACAAAAAATAAGGCTATGGAAGCTGTGTTGATTAGTTTTTGTCAGCTTGACACAAATGTAGATTTATCTGGGAAGAAGGAATGTCAATTGAGGAATTGCTTCTATCATATTGTCCTATGGCAGTGGTTCTCAACCTTCCTAATACTTTAACCCTTTAATACAGTTCCTCACGGTGTGGTGACCCCCAACCATAAAATTACTTTTGTTGCTATTTCAAAACTGTAATTTTGCTACTGTTATGAATCATAATGTAACTATCTGACATGAAAGATATCTGATATGCAACCCCCATGAAAGGGTCATTTGACTCCAAAGGGGTTGTGACCCACATGTTGAGAATCACTGTCTATGGACCTGTCTGTGAAGCATTTTCTTGATTATGATTGATGTGGAAGGACCTAGCCCACTGTGGGTGGTGCCACCTCTGAGCAGGTGGTCCTGGGTGATATAAGAAAGTAACCTTAAAAGCCACAAGGAGCAAGGCATTAAGTAGCATTCCTCCATGGTCTCTGCTTCAGTTCCTGCCTCCAGGCTTCTTCCTTGCTTGAGTTCCTGTCTTGGTATCCCTCAATGACAGACTGTGATTGGGATATTGTGATGGTTTGAATAGGAATGACCCCCATAGACTCATAGGAAGTGGCACTATTAGAAGGTGTGTCCTTGTTGATGTAGTCATAGCTTTATTGGAGGAAGTGTGCCATTGGGGCCAGGCTTTGGGATCTCAAATGTTCAAGCCAGGCCTAGTGTGGCTCACTTCTTTTACTGCTACCTGCAGATCCAGATATAGAACTCTCAGCTCCTCTCCAGCACCATGTCTTCATGTATGCTGCCATGTTCTGCCATGATGATAATGGACTAAACCTCTGAAACTGTAAGCCAGCCCCAATTAAATGTTTCCTTTATAAGAGTTACTGTGATCAAGGTGTCTCTTCACAGCAATAAAACCCTAACTAAGACATATGTGTACACCAAATAAACCCTTTCCTCCCAAGATACTTCTAGTCAGAGTATTCTATTTCATCAACAAATACAAAGTGATATATATATATATATATATATATATATATATATATATATGTGTGTGTGTGTGTGTGTGTGTGTATCACAAAAAACTGATACAAAACCCAAGATTGCATTTTAAGACAAGGTAAAATGGAGTGTATGCTTGTGTTTCTTAACCTCAGATGTACATAACCTCAGGTCTCCACAAACCAGTTTTAGGAACTCTCTCCATAGAGATCCTGATTTGTTCAGTCTGGAATAGGGCCACAGCATGAATGTTATTTCACATTCCACTTAGGAGAGCCTAGACTGCAGCTGTAGAAATGGATCTGTGTTTATAGGCAGAAAACACAAATCAGACATGTGAAACCCTTCTTTAAAAAGGAAAGCTTTTGTTCATTCACTGCTATGCTGGGCAAACTTCTTAGGAAAAGAAAGAAGGAAAATACCTTGAAGTAAGTGTATGGTTTAAAAACTACACTGTCCTTGCTATTCTCTACATTGCTGAAATCACAATTTTGATGTTAAAATCCTACATTTGTGAATAAACTATATGGCTTTATATTTCTTGGTACAACTCCTTCTTATACTTTGTTTTCAAAGTTAGTAAAACAGTGAGAAGATACCTTCATGAGACCTAGAGCAGTAATTTTTTCTTGAAAACTGAAGAGGGCTCAGATTTGTATCTGTTGCTGTGTAGGGTTCAGCTGGCAGGCATATTTAATATGTATGTTGAATTGTATTTTGACCCTATACCAATAAGTTGCCAAACTAACTCATGTGCTTTGAAAGAATGCCAAGTAGTACTAGGAATTTTATGATGAAAAATAAAATTCTGATATCCTTTGTTTCACACATACCCCAGATTTTCTCTTCTGAATGGTCATCTCTGTATTTCCAAATAACTGGGTTTACAATGTGTTCTGCTATATCTTGTTAGCCATTGCCTGTCGAGAGTTTTTATTGTGTATTTAATTTTAAAAAAATGGTGCTAGGCACTAATTCCAAGGCCTTCCATAAGCCTTACCCCTGAGACCCAGCCTCAGTCTTATCTGTTGAACTCTTAGTGCAACTGAAAATTCCAACCACTCAGATATATTATTACAGGCCACGGGTCTTCTGTGTGGGTTTCATGCTAGGGACTACCCAAACATCTGCTTAGGATGTAGTCCGAGAGTTTCAGACAAGAATGAAGCCCTCACAGGACACCTTACTGCACCCGTGTCATCATGGAATTCATGGATGGCCTTTACCAGAGCGTTGTAGGGAAATACTATGGTCAATGACAAATAGAGACAATTTGAGATAAGATAGCAGACTGGAGACTGCCTCTGTGTGAGCTGGTAAAGGAGAGAACTAGAATAAGAATAAATATACCTTTTTGAGGTTTATGTAGCTTTATTTAATGTTCTCTAAAATTATACCTATGCAATAAACTTAAACACTCATTCCAACACGGGCCTATAGAAAATTAAATATTATTCATTCCTCGTGAAGGTACAGTTAGAGATTTTATAAAGCACTTCTTCCCCATATCATTTACATACCTGTTTATTCCCATTTCCATCACCAATGCTTTCTCATCCTTAACCATTGAGTTTAGAAATCATTTTCTCTTGTCTTGTCATCCCAAAC